TTGTTTAGCAGTATACATTTATCAGTAGTGTCTGCGGACATTCAGGATTATAAAATACGTGGTTGTGTTTTTTCCTAGGTGCCGTGTAACAAAATTTGCACTGATTTTAGCAGTTTGACCATAGAAATCTATTGGGCCAATGAAAGATCTGGAATGATAAAGTTAGGATGATATTCAAATAATGTACCTGGCCAAGTTATTGTAGTTGAACATTAGCTTGTATTTTTTACATTAAAAGTTAAAAGTTCTAGCGGAACAAAGACGAAGGTTGTGACTTTGAAAGGGAAGATGACTCAACGGGAGATAACCAGGAGGCTAGGAATTTTCAAAAACAGTGTTCAGTCAACACAAATGACGTTTGCTCCGACTGGAAGTGTTTTAAGTGCAAAGAAAACAGGGAGACTACAAAAGTTAGACAGGAGAGATTATTGAATATAATAAAGAAAATGATTCCTTGAGATAGGTATGAACCTGCGTCACTTTCTAAGGGAAACATCGCCGAAAGTTTCTCAAGTGCATAGGCCAGTGGATGTTATTCATTCTGTTTAAAAAATAGGCTTGTATCTAAAAATACTAAAATATAACATTTAATGTATTAAGACATAATATCGAATTAAAAATAAAATACATTAAGTGCTTATATATATATTATATATGTATATATGTCTATCTATCTATCTATCTATCTATCTATCTATATATATATATATATATATATATATATATATATATATATATATATATATATAAAAGAAATATAGTCTTAAGGTGTGCTATATTTATGAAATAAAAGTGCTCAATATCAGAGATAGAGCGTGTGTAAATATAAAGTGAACATGAAGTCAACACTTAGAGGCAACAGTCTGTTTCAGGCCTGACGATTGCATATAGCATGAAACAGACTGTCGCCTCTAAGTGTTGACTTATGTTATATATATATATATATATATATATATATATATAATTTATTCGAAATTTATAACATAAATATGTTATAAAATCACTAAAAAAATAACCATTTTGCTTCAACACTTCTGGTGTCTTATCAAGTGATAATGTTGTATTTCTGTCGTGATTTTATAACATATTTATGTTATAATTTTCGAATAAATTATATTTGCTCTACTCTGTATTGAGCACTCTTTTAAGAATAGTATTTTTGGTTATTGGAATTTATTCCGTCTACACTAATCCTATACTTGGGTATATATATATATATATATATATATATATATATGAAGAAATGATGGATTTTTATTTATTAATCCGATAGATGTTATTAAACGTTATCTTTAGGGGATACCCATATTTGAGTAGATGCCCCGTTTATTTATTAAACAGAGTATTTATTTATTTTTGTCTACTGGCCTGAATATTCATGAAATCTTATTGAAGAAAAATATGCACCTTCAGCAGGATTCGAACCTGCGTCCCCCTTAGTAGGAAAAACACTCGTTAAGCTCGACGTCTAAGTAACGGAGTGCGTCAACGATCATATAAGGCACTATTCAACTTTGCTTGATCGTCGACACACTCCGTGGCCTAGTCGGTCTAAAGCACGTCGGATATTGCGAACATTTTTTTTTAAAATTTATGCAAATGTCATCAAAAAGATAGAATACTCTATACTTCTACATAGATTACTTTTTTGAAAAAAATATTTCATTCCAAGTAAGGCAATAAAGCAACTAAGACTTGAAACAATATAAGAAAAAAAAAGATTAAGGAGAGAGAACAATAAAAGAACAGAAATTAAGAAGACAGAAAATAACCATTGACGTCGCATTTAAATTTTTGAACATTAAAGTTGACTTGAATGTAAGAAGAGGGAAGCAAAGCGCGAGAGAAGAAACTGTTAGCATAGAACTTACGGTTACATCTCGCTATTTCAACTGGAAGAGTGTGAGATATTGCTGCCAATCTGGTACTGCATTTAAATTCATAGATTCTACGTACCATAGAGGAAAGAAATATTTATTTTGAATAATACAAAAATGTCGCACATGGTCAAAAAGAGGAATAGTGGAAGGATGGTCTTCAATGTGTCTTCTCTTAAACTTAGTTAGCCACGATTACTGACTCAAACATACCACAGTATTCCTTACAACAAAACAAAACATTCTTATAACAGTCACCATAATACCTCAAGTTTCTATGTAGTTCTAACTCGTTTCCATGTGTACTATAGAGGAGAGTTCATCAGAACAATTATCATGGAGTATTTATTAAAAAAGGTACACTGAAGCTACGTTAGGACGGTGGGGAAGTGACTGGAACCGAGATATCAGGTATTATGCAATTAAATTTTCAGAGTAAAATTCATCTATTGATGCTGTAAGAATTTATTGATTCACCTTCGTATATACGATTATTTATAACTAAATGTGTCGCCTGGAAAACGTTCACGTCATTGTACAATTTGCGCAAGACTTCAAATATGTTCTGAGGGAGCAGCCGTTCAAATGATTGATACAGCTATTTAATAACTTTAGCTTGGTACGTGCTCTGCCCATGTTAGTCTGAGCAACCTTCATTTTGCTATCCGTCGCTGACGAAATCCCCGTTCCTTGCGAACCTAATTCCACATCCGCCTAGAATGTTAATATTGAGCCAATTCATTTCTTGCTTGACATTTTTAAGCTAGTCACCTTCGTGTACTGTCATCACGTTCCATGTCCCTAGGATAAGCATATATGTGTTCCACTTGAGATATGGGTAGAAGTTACCGAATCGTCCTTCAAGGAGCCTCATTGAGAATACAACCGTTCACCATTGGAGAAAATTCAGAATCAGCTCAACCTAAGGTCAACTCGAGCAAAATCGAGCCTGTTATGTACTTAGATGGGTGACCGCTTGGAATGTATGTGCGGTAGTGTAAAGGGTAATGGCTCAGAATTGGAAATCGGAGGGCCGAGTTCCAATTCCAGTCGGGTTTGTTATATTTACTTACGCGCAAATATCCTTGGGAAAGGTAGGAATCTACATCTTCCCCCTTCAGCTATGGGTTAATTAGTAAGGCTTGTACCGGTAAATATAGGTTATATAAAAAAAAGTTTTACAATTTAAAAATATTTTCCGGTTTTAAATAAACTGCAAAAGGCTGATAAACCGTTTAAAAAGCAAATCAATCAGCCAGGATTATCTCGATGATGATGGAACATTAATAGCTTGGATTTGGAGCTGAAATTAAAATGTTTAAAGATATAACGGAAAATCGGTGGTATATATTGCCGAAAGCTGAACAGATTGCCGAATACTGTTCAACTATTCCTCGTATTTTTCGGTAGCTACTGATATAATGTGAATCCAATTTGACTGTCGCTTAGGCACCAGTGAAGGTGTCGACTACAATTGACCGAAATATATTGTGATTACTTAAATTTGTCACCTGAAGTGGTGAATCATTAAACTAAGAAAGATCAGGTCGTAGGAAGATTCATTCGTAAAACCGTGTCCCAACGACAGTGCCAATTTGAGCAGTTGAAACGTTAGGAGCGTCCGCGTTCGCATTCTTCTTCAGGACGTAGGTGATCAGTGCCCTCCACATCTTCCTATCCCTTGTACCTCTTAATAAGTTTTGTATTTTTGTTATTGCTCCCAAACCCTGTTCCGGCATCCATTTGCTCAAGCCCATCAAGCACTGCTTTCCTCTGTCCCACTTTCTCTCTATCCGTCCTGTGAGTATCAGATTTTCCAAACCCTCCTTCCTCATTACGTGCCCCAGAAATTTCAACTGCCTTTTCCTGATATTAAGTATAAGTTTCCTTTTTTGTTCCCATTCTCTCCAAAACCTTGTTGATACTCACATATTAGGCCCATAGTATCCTCAGCATCTTTCTGTAGAACTACATTTCTTTTGCTCTTATTCTGAAATATAAAAAGATACGTTTTGATGTGTTAGAAAATGAACAAATTCATATCGGTCATTAAAAAGGGCTGGAAATGATTTTTCTTGTGTACCGCGATGTTTCAGGGCGTAGGCGATCATGGGTCTTCACAATTTCCTGTCTTTTATTACTCTAAATAAATCTTGCTCCTTGGCTACCCGTCTTTGTTCTTATGTTACCCATTTACTTAATCTCATAACATAGGTCCTTCCTGTCTGCTTTTGCCTTCATTATATCTTGTGAGTATTATGAACATCAAACCTTATTTCTTCGTTATCTCGCAAAAATATCAGCTGTTCCTCTTTGATTGTTGATGGCAACTTCCTTTCACGTCTTAAAGTCCTTAAAGCTTCTTGGTTATTCACATGTTCAGTCCATGGTAATTTCAACAATCGTCAGGAACGATGCATGGCGACTGGCACTAACCATAATTTTAAAAATAACATAAGCTTCGTTTTTCCTCGAATGGTTATGGGGTTCCACCAAAAGAAAATTAAGAGTAAAAGTGATATATGGGTAAAAAAAAGGTTGAGAATAGCTGGTTTACAGCATTGTATTTTCTGTATAAGGATTCTCATTATCACGCAGCGTAAGAACGTAGTAAAAGGTCTTTTCTCTTCAAATGATTCATTCAAAATTGACTTAATCACCTCTAAGTTCACAGGACCTTACAGTTTCTTCCTTTAAAAGTTTGTTAATTATAATGACCTTAGTTCACTCACTTCCGCTGAAAATTACTTTTTAAACCTTTCCCGGTATATGACTGTACCTACTGCATTTTTATAGTTGCATTTGTTTACTGATTAAAGATGAAAAGTAACGAATATTCATTTTATACATTCAGTCGTAAGTGTTATTTTTTTTTTTGTAGCAACATTTCCGCCAACTAAATTTAAAGATTATGCATAAATAATTAATAAGAAGCTCGGGCTGAATACTTTTACATTAACTTAATATCAGTTGAGGTATAATATAGATAGATACGGGCATAGTGATTTTCTAAATCTAGCTTAATTGTTGCACAATGCCGTCAGTATGGGGCATCCTTTGAGGAATCGAACTCGCTCTTCAGTCGTAATTAATCTAGCGAGACCAGCTTGGTTACGATTATACCAAAGACGGATATGAAAAGTGTGAGATAGAATCATATGAACAAACTGATATAGAGAGATAGATAGATAGATAAATAGATAGATAATGAAGAGATTGCGCTAGATAGATAGATAGATAGATAGATAGATAGATAGATAGATAGATAGATAGATAGATACTCCACATATCTCGTGCGAGCGTTGTAAACTATTTGAAAACATTTAGATACGTGATGTTTGCCTGTCACACGATTTAACGGAAATAACGGACCGCATTTTCATCTTCGGTTTTTTTCTCAAATGCAACAAAAAATGACCCATTATTTACATTATTCGGACTATTGTCGTCATCTTTGTTGCTATATTTATCACAACGTTTCGGCTGTTGTACGCTCCGGCCTTCTTCAGATAGTTGGAATGTCGAACTGAACCCTTTATTAGTGTACATAATACCTCATCTCAGAAATATAGATGGATACTAAATGACCCATTGTTGAAAAGAACAAAACAAAACGATCTGGAGAAAATTAAATGAGCCACCGTTAACTACCCCAAAAGCTAGACGGCGCACGAAGAAGGTGATGTGTATCTCATGAGATTGGAAGGGCATTATATATTGAGTCACCGTGTTTACCCCTCGGCCAAGAGGATGTCGCATCAAAGGGAAACGCAGGTTCAATCCCTGCTGGGGAAAGCATTTCTTTACTACGATTTTTCGATTGTGCAGGCGGACAGACGTAATACTCACTGTTTAAAAAATAAAAATGGGGCGTCTATTTCAAATACGAATATCCACGATAATAACATTTCAAGTAATAGAAAAATGTCGGATTTAAAATAAATCCACTAATTCTTTACAAATATATATATAACAACGGTAACAGCTAAAATGCATATCATATGTAACTCGAACAGAAAATAATGACATAATCAAGATGCTGACATTCCATACTACTTCAAATAAACGGTTAGGAAAGAAGATCCCATCAGGGCTGGAAAGAGCAATAACAGCTACTGGGCTTGAGAAATCTATTTTCCTGAAAAATTGTTTAAACAGAAAGATATTATTAATTTTAACTGACAGCAGCGCTGGATGCTTAGTCAATGATTGCTAAATGCGTCTTTATATGGAAATGGCTAATATTACCATTAACATTTACTTAAACCCAACGTTTTAAAATTCAATTATTTATATTTATTTATGGTCCGGAGCCCCTTCTGTTTGCCTCGAGGGTTCTTGATAGGCTCCAGAGGCGGATATGCAATATAATTGGCCCTGCTCTGGCATCTCGTCTACAGTCACTTTCTCACAGACGCGCCGTCGCCTCTCTCTGTTTTACAAATACTTTCATGGCAATTGCTCCGAGGAGCTGCATTTGATGGTTCCCAGACTTCATAAGTTCAAGCGCCCTACGAGGCTGGCATCCCACTTTTACTGTCGAAACTCCTAAATGTAGCAGTCTCTTCTACTCCAATAGCTTCATGCCTCGCACCTCTCGCCCGTGGAAATCCCTTCCCTATTCCAGTTTTCCTGAGAGCTATAATCTCCAGCTATTCAAATGTAATGTCAATCGACATCTCCAGTTGCCTTGATCTATCCACTACCCTTCTCCTCATCCTTTCTTCTATCACTCCTATCTGATCTTGCTCCAAATTTTCTGCAACCCCTTGCGTCCTAGTGGCTTCTCGCCTTGCTTGGGGTTAAACGCTTAAAAAAAAGAATAATAATAATTATTGGGCTGAACCTGGCATTTCGGCTTCTGTCACTTTCTCACCGCTGTAACATAGCTTCCCTGTGCCTTTTCTATAAATAATTTGATGGTAATTATTCTGACGAAATTCCGGTCATGGTACATAGACTTAATTTAAATTTAAGCGCAGTACTAGATTGGCAGCAAGGTCTCATCATTTTACAGTTGAAATGGCTAGATGTAACCGTAAGTTCTATGCTAACAATTTCTTCTTTTGCATTTCTCGCTTGTGAAACTCACTTCCGAATTCTTGCTTCCCAGTCAACTTTGATCTTCAAAAATTTAAATTCGATGTCAATCGTTATTTTTCTCAAATCCTCTAATAGTAAGCCCCTGTGTCTTAGTGGCTTTATTGCCTTTCTTGTGGTGAAATAATTAAAAGAAATCGCTGTTTATTCATTTAATAAAAATGTATATAATTCACATAAAATTTGTTACTATCTGATACAAGCTTATCAGTCCTTTGTTCCGTAGAAAAAAAAAAGAATAGTTCCCAAGTCGAATAGAAATTTATCCTTGAAAGGCGATATCAGTAATTGGTTTTTGAATATTAAATAATCAAGAATTCAGGACTGAAAGAGAGTAGACATTTGATTTCGTTCTTACCGACCTCTGGATAATGTTCGGCGGCTCTCAACCAGAAATCTACGTGCTTCAATTTTCTAAATATATTTTTTCAAAGCGCCATCTTTTGATATTTTGATCGGAGAAATTTATGGAAAGAAATAGATGGAGGAAGCGAGCAAAAGCGAAAGTGTGTAGAAAGATTAAGAAAGGATTAAGCGAACGATGTGTCGTTTTGAGGTCAAGCACGGTGCTGTTGAAAATGATTAAAATGTTTCTTTTTAACTATTTTCTTTTAAAACATATATGCCTGTAGAAATACTGGTAAATAAAAGGTAGATGTAAATTTCTGTTTTTTTTTTGTTTGTTTTAAATATTTTTATTCAGTATGAAAAAAATTACTAAATATTTTTTGCAATCCATGAGTTGAGAAATCTGATTGTTATTTCGAAAAGAGAATAATGAATTAACATTTTTACCCGGTTTTATAATATTCGTCATTTTGAAAAGCGAATGAAAAAGTAAAACTTTTACCTGATTTCGTACGATATGGCAGTCATTTTGAAAAAAGAATAACAATTAACACTTTACTTGATTTTATACCATTATTTTTTACACTATTATGGACTGGAAACAGCTTGTTTCCTTTGAATATATTTGTATCAGATTGATACTGTAACTAAAACGTCTGGTTGCTTGTATCGTAACATCTGTCTTCCATACTGTGCCACTTAAAACAATTTCGACTTTACTCTTGAATCGGGAATACTTGAACCCAGTCAAACAGAAGAGTTCATTTTTCTCTAAACTTAATTTAGTGACGTTCTCGGAAATTCGATTTGAAACTTTTACCGAATCTATGACGATAGACAAACTCTACATCACAATTTCTATAGAGGTAAGCAATTTTCATTAGATTTTCCATGGACCATTTCATGAAGTAATTCTTCTTAGTTTAAATCTTGGGGTAGACAGTTCAGGCTGGACAGTGAGGATCGGGCAGCACCAGCCCAGATATGACAGCAATATTCTATTTTTGCTCTGATCTGAGTCTTATAATAATGGAGCATGGCAGCGGAAGTTAGGTGTTTTCTGGATCGATACGAGGAACAGAGCATTCTCCCAGCATCTTTTAGGGTGGCATGAATATATGCGTTCCATTTGAGATCGGGAATGGGCTTTAGGGAAGGGGTCAATTTACTTCTCCATTGGTGAGCTGCGATTAAAAGATAGGTATCAATCCGCTCACTGATAGGTGCCTAATAATATTTGTTAATCTTCACGCATTCTGGTACAGGGCCTTAAAAAATAAAGCAAACGTTGAGATTTGGATACTGCACTAGCGATGCACAGGTTGTGCATGTAAATATTCACTCTCTAAAAGACGCATCAAGCATTTATTAATTTTCAGTTAATTTGAAACGAAGTTCACAGTGAGTCGTTGCATGACCGGTAACCAAGTTTTTAGTCTAATATAAATCTGATCAAAAGTATATACTATACAGTGAGAATCAAACTCGTTACTACAACAATTGCTTGCGAGTGCGACAGATCTTACTAGACTATAACAGTTATATGTGATAATATATAATAATGAACAATGTAACCTTTTTTATCTTTGTTCTTCTCTCCGTAACAATAAGTTCGCCTATTGTCAGCTAATTATAAGCATTCTGACTTCACTACTGAGTGTGTAATACAACATTGGTTCTTATAGTAATACGACGTATGTCTTACCCTACTTATAGTAATACGAGGTATGTCGTACACTAGTTAAAGAGAACAAACGACGCATTACCATAATAATGGAATTTGAAAAAAATTAAATAAAAAAGAATGAAAAAAATTTTTTAAAATGAAAAAGAATGAAATAATTTAAAAAAATGAAAAAGAATGAAAATTTTTAAAAAAGAAGAAAAAGAATGATTTTTTTTAAAAAGAATTATTTTTTTAAATTAAAAGAATTAAAAATGTAAACACAATTAAAAAGAAAGAAAAAAATTAAAAAGAATAAAAATTTTAAAAATTTAAAAAGAATGAAAATGTTTTACAAAATTTAAAAAGAAAGAAAAATATTTAAAAAAAGCTAAAAATTAATTATTTTTTTTAAAAAGAATGAAAAAAAAATTAAATTGAAAAAGAATGAAAGAAAATTAATAAAGAAAGCAAGTACATAAGTTTTTTTGTTGGAAGTTAGGACATCTGTAATCTTACCATTGATCTCCACCTCTGACGTCGTGGGCCAACACTAAAATAAACAATTCACCTAACATATTTATCACAGCTGACAAAACTAGTAATTTCTATGAACTAAGCCCACCAAAACACAACAAGGACAACATAACTAAAATATGCAGAAAAGCCCCTAAAACCACAGAATACAAAACGCAAGCTAAAACAATCGCCCAAACATTAGACCTACACGATGAAATAAATTGTATCGCTAAGGCACAAGCATTTATCACACAAAGAACATTTCAGAACTAACCCAACATGCAAACTCATAAACCTAACCAAAAGTGAACTTGGTAAAATAATACTAGAAAGTATTAATTTAGAACTAAGGAAGAAGTTAGAAGTGAATCAGTGGAAAAACACAAAAACAACTATTGACTGGTTCCGCAACCTAAAAAACGAACATAATTGCGAATTAATGCAACTAGATATAAAAGAATTTTACCCTTCTATAACAGAACCCGTGCTGGATAAGGTCATCTACTTATATAAAGAACAAATAAAAATAAACGAAACAAAAATCCTTAAACGCTACCGAAAATCACTATTATTCGAAATAAAAACCTGTGAGCTTATAGGCATATATTTGCCACACGAAGTAAAATAATCGATACACATCATATAGGCCTCTACAGGG